CTTGATGGCTGGAAATTTAAGTGAAATTTATAGGCCTATCTTCCAAGCTAGGAATTTGTTTTGGTTTTGCCCCCCCCCCCATCACTTTTCTAATGGTCCGTCCCTTATAGACCCCTTATAGTAACCAGTATTACTAGAAATATAGCCTAATTACACCAGAATTATAAATGCTATAACCTTATATAGTCACTTTCAATATACCTAAATGAATACTGTGAACTTCGCGGGCTGTTGTGTACATTTTGTGAAACTTATGTCTTAATGTACTAACGATATTAATTTACTAAATATATTACAGTAAAACAATATATAATATTGAATATAGTAGTGTTTAAACTGGTTTTGTGTACATTATAATAGTTAAAAACTGTATTCGTAGCAAGAGCTGGAGTATAGTATGTTCACTGACGAGATGCGAGTTGGGCATTGTACGTAAATTCGTCTGCGGACCATTTGGAATGCACATATTTATATCGTCCTTTAATAAAAACTAGTGTCTTTTAAACGTTTTTACTGCATCCGTAATTACAAGTTTTTGATGAGGCAAGACAATGCTAAAGCCAAAACTGACAAAACCAAACGGGTAGCACTTGAACTTTCGACACCAGCTTTAGTTGACACCAGCTTTAGATGACACCACCAAATCAAATCAAATCAATTTATTCACTACATTACACACATATACAAGTATTTCAAAATTAGGAATAATAATAAGTAGCAAGGTAGCCCAAAAAGAAACCAAAAGGCTTTTAAGATTTGGGCTCCTTTCTTAAATATCTGATAGACAAGGAGGCAGTGTCACGGTAGTAAATATATAACAAAATTGGGTTACAATATAATATAATATAAATAATACTGTTCGTAATAATATAGTTCACTTTCAGCTTTAGTTGACCCCAGCTTTATTTGTTGCGGTTATAAATCACGTAATTACAATGTCAATGAAAATAATTTCAACTTTCTCCTAAAACATAAGTATAGCAATGCGTTAAGAACAAATCAGCGGAACAGCATTCCGTCTGAGCTGGAAACTCATGTGACTCGGCCGTATTTTTACCAATCTTAAAATCAAAATCACCATTTTATCGTGCTTTTGCAGCCTCAGCTCCCAAATTGTGGAATATACGCTGCAATATTTTAAAATTATATAGTTTATTAGTTTATATACTGTAATGGTTTAAGTAATGGTTAGAGCATGGTCACGTGTGTTCTATGGGATATAGAGTCCAGATAATTAGTTAAAAGGACACGAGGGGCCGTAGGCCCCGATTGGTCTTTTTACTCTTTTAACTAATTCGAGGGACTCTATATCCCATGTAGAGCACAAGTGACCATGCTCTAACAGTCTTAGAGAATGACTGCATCCACGAAGGAATTGAAGGCATGCAATTAAAGTTAGAATAATGGTTGACGGAAGAGTGCACTTTAATGATTTGTGCATTCATGCTTACAATTACGCGTAACGTGTGCAAACCAACTGTGCGCGAAAGTGGCGAGTTTTATTAGCAAACAATTATGGCGAGAGTATGGGCAGAACGAAGTTATACATGGCCAAGCGATGAATTGCTGCAAAAAGTAACAGATGCCTAAGGGACCGTTCATTATTTATACCCTAGGGGGGGAGGGGGGATTCTTATGTCATATACAAAAATCTCGAAGCCCTCCCTCCTCTTGATGATATAAATGTTGAAGACCCCCCTATAAAATGCTGAAAAATCTATGCACCCCCCTCCCCCCCATTTGTATGAATGTTTTAATACTGTAAACTCGGAACACTGTATAAGTCAAGACCCAGAACTATTGTTTCCCTTGCATATACTTTTGCTTTAAAATTACGAAGTAGCTATTCGTGCTGGAACAATACGCCGAGTTTGATTTGCTAGATTCGTACTGCAGTTGGAATATTTAAGATAAACAGACCCCAACCCCAAACCCTTCGTCCCTTCTCTAACCCTAACCAATAAATGTCTAATAAACTATTTGAAAGTTAAAAAAGTTGGGGGAAAATTTTTAGTTTAATAGTTTAAGAAAATTTCTAAGTCAAACAGAAAACCGACGGCTAAAACTAAAATTCGCTTCGCTTAGCGGTTGCAAAAAACTATTTTATATTACTAATTTACGAAATGTAAGAATCGGGTGCCATATTCCAGTACAAATAGCCACTTCGTTAAAATTATATTATCTCTATTACAACAATAACTTCCTATAATAATATTTTGCAATTTCTTATATAAATTGTTTTAATAATTCCTTTGAGAAGTTGCCGTATTGGACATTGTATTTTACATTCGAGTTATTTATCAGGGTGTGTTAAACTATATAATTAAAGTATAACAAATTATTAATGCACATGTTACAAAGAACTTAAACTGGCATTTAACACATAGTTTTTTTTAGTTAATAGTTAGTTCAATTAACCAGTTTAACCCTTTAAGTGGCAATGCGCCCTATTTTATTATTTTACTCTGTCTATAACGCCAGACTATTTTACTCTGACTACTATGCCAGACATTTTACTTGTCAGGGGGGAGAGTGCTGCCACTCAATGGGTTAAGGATATATTTATATATTTATATATATATATATTTATATATTTATATATATATATATATATATATATATATATATATATATATATATATATATATATATATATATATATGGCATGAGGAGCAGCTGAGCTGAAAGAAGGGATGAGTTGAAGGAAGGGAGGAGTGAGTACATATATATATATATATATATATATATATATAGTGATATATATATATAGAAAGAGTAGCAGTGAGAAGAGAGAGCATATATGGTGGAAGGAATGGATAGACACAGGAAAAGGCTTCACTAGTAAAGTTATTTTTAATAAAGGGGAGATCTAGTTAGTTTTTTTAATTGAAAGGGCTGAAATGCGCCTTAAAAACCATCATTCAAAAGGCTGCACTGTGCCTTTAAGCATGATTCAAAATCAGCAAACTCAATGTTTTTAACAATAAAAATGTTTTAAAATGTTAAAAACATTAAGTTTGCTGATCTTGTATTATGCTAAATTGATTTTCCTAGTTAGTTTTTTCAATTAAAAGGGCTGAAATGCGCCTTACTAAACCATCGTTCAAAAGGCTGAACTGTGCCTTTAAACAATGCATATGCATAACATGATATTGTGTACTCTATCCATAAAATAGCATGCAAAGCATTGTTCTTTTAAATTGCCATACTAACATCATTTTACATTTAACTAGTCAACGTCATTAATTTAAACCTGTCTAGGACTTTTTCACTATCGTAACGTTTCAATTGCCACCACTAATATTAAAACAACCGATCCCATTCTATCATATATCTCAAACCGGTCGGACGTATTTTGTTGTTCTATTGTAAAATATAAATAAATCATTACTTTAATTACACACTACAACTACACAATAATCATTATCATTAATGCTTGTTACCAGGCTTGTTACCAGGTTTGTTACCAAATGAAATTTCAGGCAATTTTCACCTTTTCTATATCTATCGTGTTTTTTTCCATCGCAATGCATCGACCATTACCACATTTCCAGAGAACTTCTCCGCTCTTCGAACAAGTCCAATGACTGGGAAAGCCGGTATTCCATCCTGCCCGTCCTCTTCCAAATCTAGAAAGTCCCTATCATTTGTCTTTTTATCAAACTCTTCAAAACGAAAACTAAAATCTCCCCTTCTCGAACTAGACATGCATCCTCACTCCACAAATATCAATCAAGTAATAATAAGGTAACTGTTGAAAAGAATTCGGCCCAAAAATGCAAATACATTCATAAATTTTGTATATACATGTATTATAGATTTAAACAAGCAACGTGTGAATCTTAATTTACCACAACAATGGACTTGTAACTCGCTGCATGCATACTTTTCTTTGTTCAAAAACAACCACAATGACCAATGTGCATTAAGTCGGATAATATACCTTCGCCCTCGGTATTTTTAAAAATAATGAAAATAATAATTTTAAAAATTATTTTTAATAATACCTTGAGCTATACCTATATATTCGTGTTCACATACCATTAAAACAATTGATTTCAAAAGAAATTAATAAAGCAGAACACGAATATATGAATATGGGCCCCCCCCAATTATCGTTCTGGCTACGCCACTGCATTATTATCCTATACAATAACCCCATAAAAGGCGAAATCGGTTTGACAGTAACAGACGAACTACACATTTAATCACACAACGCACAGGAAACCACGCGAGTTATGATGTGAAAGAGCTTTATTATCCAAGCTATTTTTGATCCATCGCTGAAGAATTAACTATTGAGCAATAATAAAGTCAAACCTAAAAGACATGGCGTTGAGGGCTTACTCATTTCTGGCAGTGCTACTGACGGTTAGCCTTTGGGCAAATGGACAAGGTATTTTACTTATGACAATACGATATATACTCGATTCTAAATTATTTTATCAATTCTATATTTGTTTTTCTCTAGGGATATTATATACAAAAGTATATTATACTTTTGGTTGCGGTCAGTCACTCTATGAAAGTTGATGAAAAGTTTTATTGAAAAGACCAAGTCTTAGCAAATAGAAAGCAAAGACGTGCTTATATAGCCTTGGCCAGCAATCACTGGGCACTTACATACGGTTTCATCACTCATGCAAGCCAATTACAAGGGCAAGGGTCCCTATATTTACATTCATGTATGCATTTAGTTTAAACTCGTGTTTCTACTCCGAGTGTGATATACATTTACACTGTTTACATTGCCACAAAGCTTATAGCTCAGTCTTAGGGCAGGCCTAGGCCAACGATCGCTGTTCTGGCCGCCTGGGTCAGAACTTTGCTAGACCACATTAAAATTTGTCTAAGACCCAGTCCAACAATGTTTGAAGATGTCGCCACACTATTGGATGCGAATTTTCAAACAAAGTCAAACCCAATCCATCATGTTCCATCATTAGCCAACATTACCCAACATATAGGTTAAACGAGGCCAACAATGTTGCATCCAACCCAAATTGGTATTTTGGCCTCGTATGAAGGAGATTTTACACTACCAAAATGTAGGCCTCGCCCACAGTTAAGATACCATCAATTATAATTAAGGTCCATTAATAATTTTTTTAAATGAAAAAAAAATTAAAAGGGCATATGCATGATCAGCTAGCTGCTTCACTGAACGAATCATAACAAATGCAATAATCATTATTCTAAATCCAGTCAGAGATATTAGTCAGAATTTATAGTATTTTCAATTAGAATCTATTAATCATTGTAATTCATTGCAATTTGACTGATGTCTAATCATTAAATTCTGGTCCCTGGTTGTGCTGGACCGCTGGTTTTGAACTCAGTCTGAAAACGTCCAAAAAGTCCAAAATCTGTAAAAGTCGCAAGTGGGTAGTGGTATGCGTGCAGCTTAAGAGTTACATACTTGTGTGTTAATGACAATGGTACTTGTATATTGAATCAGAGCCTTCTTTATAAGCCGTTGCCAGTATCTTCTGTATACTTAATTTTATATTTGCATGATGATATGACAACATGATATATATGATATATGTTGATATAGACCGATTCGAAAAATGGTTGTCATTCTTTTTTCTCCCGAAATTAATTTCGACCATGCATCTAGAGGCATATTCGAAAGGCGGAGGCATATTCGAAGACCAACTTTATAATACGAACTCCCAAAGGACGTCAAATATGCTTTCGAACATTTTTAAATCTGTTTCATGCTTATTTCGCTTCCCAAGAAAAAGGAAGGGCCAACTTACTATAGAGCATTATTAGTACATTACCCGAAATTAAAGATATTAAGTTGAAATGCTAAAATTGAAATTGTTAATTTTTGTGGAAAATGGCAATTGTTTTCATATAAATTTGATCAGCCGTGTTTCTCGATTTTTTTACTCATTTTTAAAGCGTGCGCCAAATTCAAACATTTGTATCTCACTTAATATGACGTGGCATTTTTAGCGCTGTATATCAAGATCTAAGTTAGCCTTTCCTCAATACAATAAAACTTATTTGAGTGTAATAACTTTTACAGTTTTTACCTTACATGAAATCAATATTTTTTTACATGGCTTTACACGCAGGCATATATATATTTAATAGATTTGAAGATTTGTAATCCAGGCATTTATTGAATTACAATTTTCCTACAAATTATACAGTGTTCTCCGGATTGTAATTGTTTGTTTTGAGCTTTCGACTAGGTATACTTCGAGTCTTCATAATTATCAGAATTAAGGATTGATACAGTGTTCTCCGGATTGTAAGTGTTTGTTTTAAGCTTTCGACTAGGTACTTCGAGTCTTCATGATCATCAGAATTAAGGATTGATCATTTGAATTTTCGCGCTGTTGTTGACGCTGTTGAAGTCTGTGGGAACGTCTGATTGGTTGATGCATGATTTCAGTATGTTGGTTACCATTGGTTGCTATGGAATGCGGGTGATTATTGTTATCATGAGACGGTGTAGGGAAGGAAGTTGAGGGTGGGTTAAAGGTTAATGAAGATGAATTAAGAGATTTGTGCGAGCGTTTCAGTTGTAAGTAAATTGTAGGAATGTCAATGTGACGGTTAAATGTTTGTTTGTCTAATCTATGCCATGCTTCTTTTAAACTCATGGGCATGTTTGATCGTTGCTTGTCCTTGTCCTACTGTCCTTGTCTTTTTGTCGTTGCTTGTTCTTGCACAAATCTCTTAATTCATCTTCATTAACCTTTAACCCACCATCAACTTCCTTCCCTACACCGTCTCATGATAACAATAATCACCTGCATTCCATAGGCATAGCAACCAATCACAACCAACATACTGAAATCCATCAACCATGCAATCAGACGTTCCCACAGACTTCAACAGCGTCAACAACGGCACGAAAATTGAAATGTTCAATCCTTCTGATGAAGACTCGAAGTACCGATTCGAAAGCTCAAAACAATGTATAATATCCAGACATCATGCGCAGAGTGTAATGGGGCCAGAGTGCTCAAGCAACCACAAGGGAAGTAAGCTTTGCATTATCGCCCATTAACAACTCCGCAGAGTGCTCAACAACACCGAAGTGAAGGAGCGTAATAATAAATAAACGTATACTTACTAAAATCAGGAATTTTAATTTAGTGCGCTGGCCGTTTGGAATATACGGTTTACCCAAAGCTAAAACTGGATGTCCAGATGCTATATGGAAAGAGGGCTGGAGAAGACAGGATTTGGATGAAAAGACCAATACTTCATCTAATATTCATATGGATGTGCAAATTGAAAATAATGGCAACATTAAAAGATCATTTTGCGTAAAAACCATGAAAAATGCGGGAACAAATGAATGGCCTAAAGGTGACTAAAATGTAATTGTATAAAGAAATGTGCAATGATTACGTCATCTAGAAGGTTATGTCATGTGATCACCAGAATTCGTTTGTGCATTTGTTTGTGTATATTTGTTTAATCGAGGGATAAATTACTCTGAAAATCTGTTATCTTCCTACACTTCGTCAATAATCTCAAAAAATCTTTTAAAAAATCCCAAAATCTTAATAATTTTAATAAATCCCAGAATCCCGAAATCCCAAAAAGTCGGCCACGGAATCTCTAAATATTTCAGAAAATACTCGGAAAAGACCAATAAAAACTTCAACATCATTGCAAAATCGAGAAATCCCACCAAGTTTTGAAAAATCTCCCCCGGAAATATCCTATTTAAACCCTTACATACATTCCATACCCTCGAAATCTCCATGTTCATCTACTTCATGTATAAGAATTTTTTTATCACATGAGGATCGGGAGAAAAGAAGAGATCGTGTTTGGCTAAGTTTTGCATATTTATTCGCAAAGTTTTGTTCTTATGAAAAAAACGAGGAACATTTTCCGAAAAAAATGAAAAAATCCCAAAATCCCTGCAAAAATTTGGCAAAAAAATCCCAGAATCCCAAGAAAAATTGCAGGGAATTTTTAATCCCAAGAATCTTCGTACGCTTTTTTCAGAGTAATTTACCCCTCCAGTTCAATTTCTGTTACCATACATATTAAAAAGTTTTCTTTGAAAGTTTGTGAAGATAATGATTGAGAACAGGATAAGAAATTAACAAAAGTTTGTATGTTTGTATATAATTTTTGCATGCGGAAGACTTCACCTTCTGGTAGCATTTCCCTGAGATTTTGGCGAAGATGGTCTTTGCAGGGATATAAAGTCATATATAAATGTAGACTGAAATGTGATTAAACAATCCGCTGTTGGATGATTGAAGTCTCTATATTTTACTCTGTTTTGCTCCACAGGGTTTTACTGTATCTATAAAGGCAATAATAGTGCTTGTCCCACGCGAATGACTCAGGGCGCCGTACAATGGGACGACAAGGACATTTTAAACGTCAACCAGCATGGTGGAACATTACCTGATGGTGTGTACGATTCCAATACGAAGATAAACTACTGTTGTCAAAATATGGGCAGATGGTTTGATCCAATTAGGCTGCCAATACATCGCCCATTCTATCTCCTACCACACAACAGTTCTACACTACCAAGATGTCAGCTTGTTAAGTGGGCCGTGAGTCGGTTGGAGTATATTGATTACGATACAGTGGACATAAGATCGGCTGATAAGTCCTCTGGGGATCACGTGTTTCTTGAACACATTAGTTCTAGTTCGATCAGTCCGTTACCATCTACGTTTCTTAGAGTGCATTATTGTTATTATGAAGGTATTAAATTTGGTTTATCGCATGTGCTGTTATTTAATTTTTAAGAAAACAACATTTTTGTTCATAACTGTGTTCATTGCATCATCGGGGTAGAAATGTATATGTGTATTATATTTATGTAATATATCCAGTTACTCGACTCTAAAAAAATGGAGAAAGTTGCCCATGCTGTTGAACGTAAATTCTGAACTGAACGACTTTTGAGTGTTGTAGAAAAAATGCCAATGTTATATTAAGACTTTTTCTCGTGACTAGCCACTGACATACTAACGAGCCTAGGGTACCATTCCACCTTAAATACTGCAAGCCGTCCTTGTTGTACGTTACCATTCCAGAGCTAACTAGTTGTAAATCAAATGCGAGCATTGCTCAACATATTTCTAACAGTGCATGAAACTGTGTCCAAAATTGCACTGTTAGTTGCAGAAATAATTTTTTTCTCTATGACCTCAAATGATGACCTGCATTATTAACTACCTTCATTTATATAAATTTTAGGATGTCGTTACAAAATGAATACAAATGAAGGTGTCTTTGGTTCATTAAATGACAATCCCCAGTTGGACAAATGTTCATGGTCAATTGAAGTGGAAAAATCTCATGTGATTTCAATTGAGTTTACCCAACTGCAGCTACCAAAATGTCGGGAAAGTTATTTAGCAGTGTATGATGGCGTTAACGAAAAAGCACCTCGGTTAGAAAAATATTGTGACTCCAAAACGCAAAAGAATCGCATTGTATCATCTGGAAACAAGGTTTTTGTGATACTTAAATCTCTTACACCACAAAAAGATTTCAGCAGGCAGCCAAAGTTTGAAGTGAAGTACATCGCTCAGCGGAGTTCAGGTAAGAGGGAATATATAGGCCTACTCTCTAAAGCACAGCCTGCTTTGCACTAGGAATGTTTTGTCATTGGCCGTTTTTATACTAGAGACGCATTATGCGTCTGGACGAACTTGGGCAAGCATTTGTTGTTCGTCTGGTTATGCGTCCTTAGTATAAAGACGGGCACAAGACGCATTATGCGTCTAGACGAACTATGTTCGATTCTTCGTCTTAAGAGACGCACAACCGATGATAGTTCGTCTAGACGCATAATGCGTCTTGTGCCGTCTTTATACTCGGAGGACGCATAACCAGACGAACAATGAATGTTGATAGTTCGTCGCATTGGCCGTTTTTATACTAGAGACGCATTATGCGTCTGGACGCATAATCCGTCTTCTACATTATTCGTCTAGTATTATTCGTCCCGTCTTTATACTAGACGAATAATGTAGAAGACGGATTATGCGTCCAGACGCATAATGCGTCTCTAGTATAAAAACGGCCATTTAGTTGAGTAATCAAATTTGAACCTAGATCACATTTAAAGTTGTGTGTACAAGAAAAGCTTCACTGTCGTACACAAGTTGATACCGGTAGTGTAAAGAATATGAGAAGATCATTCAAGATATGACAAATATCACAGTGAACATAATCAACAAAAATCAGAAATCATTCCTATTTGATTTAGGCCTCCTCTTCTTCCCCTTTTTCGTTTTGCAGCGCTCGAGTCTTGTGTGTATTGTCTCCATGTGCATGCTGTAACTCGGGCTCATTTTCATAATGATCTTGGACCAAGACCATATACAATCTCTTTAATAACATCTATATTCCACCACTTCTTCAGTTTTTCTTATCTTTATTTTCTGTCTGAATATTCGAATATTTATATATCTTTTCCCATATTTCTTCTATCATGTGTAAGCTAATTTTCTATATCATCTGTGATTACATAAAACTTTATCATCCAATTGCAAACTTTAAAAGGACTTTGAATAGACCTATTCACATGGAGCCAGATGCGATTGGCTAAGAACGTATGAAGTTTTCTCTTTCCGAACTAATAACAGCCAATTAAATCAGTCACACATTTTCCACGCAATTGGTGTAAAAATGTCTATTAAATGGTGTTTTGAAAGAGGTTGCCATTGTCATACAGACAGTTTGTTTGAAAATACCTTGATCAGAGAAATTTTGATTGTCTAAATCAGCCTTATGAAATGTGACGAAAACCATGATGAACTGCAGAACGGAAAAAAATTATTTTAAAAGATTATTGTAAAATGATTCTTTCACCTAGCCTCCTCCGCAGGCAACTCGGTGGAAAACAACGGCGAAACTTACGCAATAATTAGCAGATTGAGCGATTCCTTTCTTATACGCTGCAGACACTCTAACTAAGAACCCTAGCTCGAAACGTCGAAATTATTTAATATTTTAGTTATAGTTGAGAAGTAAACTGCGGCATTTTTTAACCTATTGTTTATTGTAGCCTCCTCCACAGGCATCTCAGGCTAGGTTTATTGTGAAAATCCACACAAATTGAATTACATGTATACTATTTTCTTATTTATCTTTCTTTAGGTTTCACTCCAAGACTAACAAAGCCCCCTTTTAACACTAAACCAACAGAGCAGTCCGATTCTGACAGTGAAACTGCTTTAATAGTTAGCCTCGTGGTAGTGCTAATTTTCATCCTTGTGATAGTACTTCTTGTGATATTCCGAGCAAAAGTAATTCATTTTCTTGAAAACCTTTGTTACAAAGCTAATGAACAGTCTCAAGAACAAACTGAGGGGAAAGGTGAGCCTACAATTGCCAGCAGACCTTCGACAAAAAATAATGTAGAAGTTTCTCCTCATGACTACAATGTGAATGGCCATGATGAAGCTGAATTACAGTACGTCGATATTGTCGAGGCAGGGCAACAGAACATAAATGAAAGTCATTACACAGACTTAGAGACTGTCAGAAACGACCCTGAAAACATTTATCAGTCGTTGGAACATAAAAGAAACGATATTGCGCCAGAAAATGTTCAAAATATGGATGATTTATATGAAAATTTGGCGTGAAATCTAGATAACTATACACCTCCTTATCCTCTTCGTTTCACCCTAAACCATTTTAATTAAAGTTATTTAATTTAACTGAAGGGACCGTTTTCGGTTGTTTGTGACTCTAGAAACCATTAAGAGGGCGCTGGTTTTCAATTGAATTTCGGCAAAGTTTGGAGGTGCGCACCACGGGCGCACATGTTTGCATGTTCAAAAAATGGGGGAGAGGAGGTGGATGTTGCATTTTCATATTTAATTATTATCCCTCGTCAAAATACGTACTATAGCTAAAATTTCACTAATTCAGTAAAGGTGTGGGATATGTAATAGAGGACCAACAGACAATGTGGAGGTATGAGACAATTTTTCAAAGTATTTTAAGTTTCGATTATCTAGTGAAATGGTGGGTTTTTACATCCATCCATAACTTTTATCTACAGCAAAACTACCAGGCAACTAGTTTTAGCTACATGTAGACGTAATTTCATGATCTCTTCATTCTGAATGTACCTATGATTTCATCAGTTACATTTCACAAATGAGAATCATCCTTTTATATTACAGTCACTAGAAGTGACTTTTTCTTTTGTTGGCATCGCAGTTATCACGTCAGCAAAGGAAAAAATCGCGTGAACAGATTCGCCTAGTGGCTGACGCCTGTAATATAAAAGGATGATTCTCATCTGTGAAACGATTCTGTAATAAAAGATTTTACAAATACAACCTCATCCTCGAATGCAGGATTGCATGAATTGAAAGTACTAATTTTTCGACGTCTCTTATTTGCTTAATTAACTTTGCTCAATTAACTAATAATTAATGGTCCAGCATTATAGTCAGTGTCGATGTTTAAAATTTCGGCGTGCCCTGGTCAAACTTTTACAAAGCTGTCAAAATCCTCGAATGCAGGATTGCATGAATTGAAAGTACTTTTTCGACGTCTCTTATTTGCTTAATTAACTTTCCAGCATTATAATCGATTTCGATGCTTAAAATTTCGGCGTGTCCTGGTCAAAGTTTTACAAAGCTATCAAAACACGACCCATGCAGAACGGTAGAAGACGGGTTAAGTACAATATTCATTGTTAGCATACTGTATACTCGGGAGGTGGATAGTGCTTTTCGCGCAATTTGATTGGTTATCATGCTCAGCTCTGAATCAGAGAAATATACATTTTGCCGTCGTCAACAGAGCATGGACGACGTCTGAAACTCCAGATATACTTTTAATTATTCATTTCTTTTGTGCTATAGGATTAATGATATTGTATTGACAGCCGTCGTCCTGATGCTGCCGTCTTACATGCCGTAAACTCCCTATTTTTATTCGATGAGCTTTCCGCTATCAGACCTATAGCCTTCAACGGGTAACTAACTAAACAACACAGTGACCTATTTATATTAAATTAAAGTCTAAAAGATGACGTAATTGTAGCTAAGTAATTAGTGAACATGCAAAATATCGAAAGTATTCAGGGAATGTAAGTAGTGTTTCTTTAGAAGAATAGAATATTGTTCTGGTAAGTGTTTTGAATTATTGTCTGTACCATCTATAACAGCTGTATGCCAAGATTCTAATGTTTTTCTAATCCAATAATATCCTTTATCTATTATTTTCCCTCTCTTAAAATCAATTTTGTTATGGTATAATTATTCTAATCACCTCAGTATCGGTGAATAGTGTTCAGTGAATAGTATGGTGTTGAATGAATAGGTCGTATAGTCGTTTTATTTTTGGCTGGAAGGAAAACACCTGACCCTCCCTTTTCCTTCGGCATAGAAATTAGTGACCCTCCCTTATTGTGACCAGATTTGGTAAAATATTTTACTTCTGGAAAAATTTTAATGAGATTTTTTTAATAACATTAGAGATTTTAATGATGAGTAATTGTTTGGTAAAAATTCATGTTTGAATGGTATCTTGTGTAATATAATCAACTCTAGCCTGCGAAACTCGGTAAATTGAAATATGGAATAGCGAAATTAACGAGTTTTCAGTCTAACTTTGTTGAAGCCATAATGAACAGCAGTGTACATAGAGTGTACTGGAGTGGGGCGAAATTAAATTTATTTGGTAACATTTTTCTCAATTTAGTAAATTTTAGACGTAAAGTTTGATAATAATCGCTAGAAATATCTGATCACCTCACGCAGTAAATCGACTTAGATATAGGCCAGCTAAAACCGCATCGTGTGTTCCACGCCCAAATTGAGAACGTCATATAGAATTCTCTCGTATTCAGCATGACGCCTTCTGATTTTAATGGCAATATTATCAACTAGCTAGATGTGCCATTCATCCTGCTTAATTATCTTCTCGAGGAGTTGCTATTATTCCGTTCTTCAGTTCTTCTCTACCTTTGATTATGTTCTTCCTTGAGGTCTATGTTGTTCTCGGTACGCTGGTCGAATGCCTTACTTGTATTTAAATTTACGCTGTATTAATTCAGCAGTTAAAAACTAGACGAAAATGATCCGTGATTCAGCCAAAATCCTCTAGAAATTGTGACGTTCCCACCAGTCACGTTCCCACTACTAACTTTGCTGGATTAGTTCATAAGAAACGGAAACCTGTAACTTGAGACGTCAAAATAGTGATGTAAGGGCAAGTGGACGATGAAATAAAATCCTTAATATTAATAACATTTAAGCACCACTGATAAATACCTTGGTATAAAATCCCTCCTTCCTCGATTGCTTTCACACAGAATGTCGACATAAACATCAATATGTTGTTAGTTGTGCTTGTGCTTGGCCTTATAGAAATTATATCTGGATATAATACTACTATTTTACAAAGTAAGTACATATAAATGATAATTGAAGAAGGTACAAATAAATGCCGACTGATGATTATTCGGCATTTTTGTATGAATTATTTTCAATGAGTTCCAAATTAGTTGTATATTTATCAAAATGCGGTATCGATTTTAAAGGTATCTATGCAGTCATACACCAAACGTGAATGCTAAAAGGCTAGAACTAGAGATTTTCTTGATATGAACTTATAGTCATTATGCTGACAAAACGTCTGCATATTAATATGCGTCTATAAGCACCCAGTGGCTATCGAATATCGACTTTATTATCGCCTTTTTCTGCTTTATTTGGATTTTGTGTGGGCGCAATGGTGTTGTTAATTTTATTTGCGCTATTCTTGAATAGGGAACAAAATGCTAATTTTGTACTTTGTATTGACGCAATTTATCAATATCATGAGGTCTATTTATTAAATGTTCAAATTATATTAGGATTTAAAGTCGTCGCTTTACACAAATTACTCTGACTAGGTATAGAGTGATATGTTTTATGATGTTCTTCTTGTGCAAAATTGCTCGAATTTAACGCCTAAACTTGCGCTATTATTGTCATTCTCATAACTCCGGATATTTATAATATGCCAAAATGTGACGATCGGAAATATATTCCGTCTCAAATGCATTCCAGCGTTAAATGTTTTGAAAGTTAATATTTATAAATGGGTTAGGAACGATGCTGTATTTCTCGTCTGTTTTCTATATTGACAGTGCACTCTGAATGTATATTTATGAACCAGCTAGAATCAAAATAGACTACTGCAGCGGACATTTTGATCACGTTTTAGGATATTAAAAATCGTGGGGTCCGTCACGGCAAAAATCTCGTTAGAAATGAGGAAATCAACTACACAATTTGACAACATCGGCACACCGCAACTTCTGCAACTGATATATTCAGGAAATCTTGTCAGTTCAGAAATCAACTGATTTCGAAATTTCGTATAAGCTTTCGGAACAGCCATGGCTGTACTATATAATGTCATTATATATGTCATTATATAGTCTGCGCGCAGGCTACCATGGCTGATCCTCGGATAAAATAAGGGTTCTCGAATTCTATGCACGAGCTAATCCCCTTGTAAATTGGCATCGACATGCAATTCATGAGTGATGACGTTAACAAAAGCACTAAGTGCTCTTTTAAAAAGTCATGTCTTAGACTAGAGATTCATTTGTAACGTACAGTTTGATGTCTGTAACTATATACGAAACAACAACTATTACTATAGTATATATTCCTAATACCACTATACATAGACATAGTTATTCAGTTTACAAGTTACGCCTTAAAATTAATTATTGAATGTGAACACTAAAATAAATCCGTCCAATAATGCAATGTAAGTAATAATAATAATAATAACAATACTTAATATAAATAAGATACCAAAGTTCATGATCCTATAGGCTAGAGAATACAGTCACTATAACCTTCTCTTGTTTTTATATTACTTTATTAATTTGCAACGTACAGTTTGATGTCGGTAACGGCTATACTACAATAGCTATTAAGAGCTTGTTACTGTAATACCTTATAGTGGAACCCACTCCAAAGCGGGTTCTACTGCTTGTTTGCATTGTAAAGAATAGCATGCAAAACCTTTCTAGAATAATTAATTTACGTACCATTCCTTAGGTTCAAACAGTGTAAATGTGAGCAGTGTAAAGAGATCGAGTTTGGCAAATACATATTTTTCCACAATTACTTTGAGTGCAGTTTTTAGTGAAACAACTCGAGGAAATAACAGCGTACCATCAACGAGGCAACTACGTCCAGCTTCGTCTTCATTTTGGATGCCACATACGACACACGCCACATCAGAATCAAAGACAACGTTAGCAACAGTGTCAGAGACGTCACGAATAGTGGAAGAAACGATAACGACACAGTTTTCATCGATAACCAGTTCACATCCCAAGAGTTTTTCACTAACACCAACATCACCACCACCGGTGAAAACAACAAAAACACTATGTCCGTGTCTAAGGGGAAAATCGTGCGAAGAAAAAGTTTTCTGGTGGGATGTAAAACCTGGTATGTGAGTTCTGCTATTACTTGTTTCACAGTTCAGGCTGCATTTACTTCTACTTGAAATACAAAACAATACTCACTCCAAAAAGACCAGATTTTATAGTCATTATCAGGATTAAACAACTTTGAAAATGTTTACGTGTTCGGGGTGACTATTGTGTTGTCTGTATATAATATGGTATTTTCAGGATTTTAGGCATCTCACTCGATAGAACTAATTGTACAGGCGGCCCAATCTCACAGTGAATGATCAGGTGTTGCGGATTTTTAACGGCTTTTATAAACAAACTTCATACCCAACCAAAACTATTCTTAAATTAGTCAAATATAACTACACTTTTATAAATAATAACAATAAAATATAGTTGACATGAGCCTCATTTAAAGCGGTTTGAGTAACATTTTCTGTGGCCTATGTTGTGTGTTGCTCGTTAAGCCCGCCGCACACGAGAGCAACTTGCTGAGCTAACCGCCACGCGAGGCGGTGAGGATTTGACCTCTCGAGGCCTTGAGGAAAATATCTATCGTGTTTGATATTTTTCGCCTCGCGAGGAAAAAATCTCAGCGTCTGCGGATATTGTGAGCTAAGTGCTGAGCTGTTTGAATCAATTAGCCAATGACAAACCATGGTTTCTTCATGTGACTTGGAACAAAATGGAGGAAAATTTTTTGTCAATTATGTTGTTGTTGAGTAGTTTTCCCAACATGTGCGGTCAAAATACATAGCTGCATGAGCTAGCTGCCTCGCGAGGCGGTTAGCTCAGCAAGTTGCCCTCGTGTGTGGCGGGCTTATATATGAAGAAGTAGAAGGCTCATCATTGGCGGCCCAACCACATTGCTTTCAAAGTCAATTATGTCCGTTCAAACTTGCCGTACGGCAAAACAAATTCGATCACATCTTTTCACAAAGGTTTCTCATTCTAAAGAATATGGTTTGATCATAGCTTGGGCAAATTTAGCAACGAAAGCCAAAATCTCCTCAATTTCACGTTCTCTAATATAAATTCCCGCGTTCTCTAATATAAATCAAGGGCAAAACAACCGTAAACCCCTTCCCTGCAATAATTTTATCAAGTAGAGAGCCTGGCTTGCGAGGTTGTCATTTTATAATTTTACGTGATGTTCCAGGCCTATAGTGGAGATTTTAAATATCTCTTATAAGTATAACTACATTACACCGCCTTTTCTGACGTGCATTATTTTCGTCTAATACTTTAAAGTAGCTATATCATCAACATCTACTCTCATGCATGCATCCGATTAAAATGCGCGAGCGTGCGAGTGGCTCTCGCAAGCACTTTTGAAATTTTGACGGCACTTTGCCTGCCATTTTGACAACAATTAGCTCAAAATATATTAAATAAATCCCCGTTTACACTACGCTCAATTTTTGGTACGGCACGGATAAAATTGGTACCCGTACCACTTTTTTGGTTCTTGGACTACCTATTTAGGTACGGTACCAAAAATTGAGCGTAGTGTAAACGGGGCTTATATAGCTAAATAGGTAGTCCAAGAACCAAAAAAGTGGTACGGGTACCAATTTTATCCGTGCCGTATACCAAAAATTGAGCGTATAGTGTAAACGGGGCTTAAGATGCATTTTTGCAGGCATATTTTGAAGTTATGGATGTTTCTCGGAGGCACACAAAACTATTAATAAGACCTGTCTGCTCCACTGGTCTGTTCGCATCTGAAGAGGAATCAATTTTTTGAAGAGCTTCCTCCACCAATTTTGGCAAAACCATGCACATTGACCATTACATTCGTGATTGGTCCATTGATATCGCTGACCAATTTTGATCGCTCAGTATCACAAGTAGGAGAAGCACCAGCAGATCCTTCACTATAGCCTGCCCGCGGCTAATTCTTCACACCCCCTACATGTTTCACAGATACTATAAATTTAGGGCAAATCCAGTGAAAGCATGCACCCTGCTTATGCAGTGCTACAGTATATTGATTATTATCGGTGAATATTAATGCATTTATGCATGAGAAAAACCCAACACTGCGTTGCAACATAAAGTTGACTCGAGCGGGATTTGAACTTCACATCCTGCTTGAGTCGACTTTATGTTGACAATGCATGTAGTGTTGGGTTTTTCTCATGAATATATATTTATCATGTCAGTTCCCTGGCGATTGCTCTGAAATAGAGTTGAAACACTGTTGCATGCCATCGTAAGATTAAACAGAGGCCTTACGATTTTAGGACGGCAACGCGACGACGACGGCCAAAACAAACTCCTTCAAATAAATCGTAGTAAAAATAATTCGTCGTATATTATCAATCGCATGAATTTAATGTTGTCTTAGAAGTTGAAGACATAGGTTTCATGGTGGAGAAGAGTTCTACTGCATGGACCCAGTTTGAAGTTGCACTTGCTGAGGCTTGAAATGCAGCCGTTGTGTCAAGAAGTGAAAATCTGTGATTTGGCGTTGTAAACAGAGCAAAGTCTAAATTATTCATATATTGTAATTATTCAATTCTTTTCAATGATTTATTGTATTGGTAGCCGTTGCCGTCCAAAATCGTAAGGTCTCTAATGTTGTTAGTTGCAAAGTCTGGAATTCATCTTGCGTGCGCTGAAATATGTATTTGAACTTGTGCACTCCCTAGTTGACTCGATAGTTCAATTGGTAGATCGAGCGTCAGCCCGGTTCGCTGAATATGCGAGTTCAAATATTATTAGCATTATCACTGCCTGAATTTTATGAACTATGTGCAAAATCAAGCTGTTCTGTTGTTTCATGGTCATACAAAATTTGTATAAAAAATGTATATATTCGCAGTATTTATATCGTATTTTGTTATTTCTTTTAGGGACATTGAAATTTATGTTCTATGTCGCTTTTGGAGTTGCATTAGTAAGCACAGTTTCGTTGATAGTTGTTTGCTGTCGTTGGAGACGACAAACAAAAACAGTAAAAAAGCTCCAAAAACAAGCTACAACGTTGTCTAACCCGTATGTAAACAATCCTGTTGTAGGCTTCCCATCACCTCTTCGGCTTTCTTCGTTTATCAATAGACCTGAATCACCTTACGATACGCCGGAGCCTGTCGGAACCATTCAGCAAGAAGTCGAAGTTTCTTATGTCAGTGTGATAGATGGAAACGAATCAGAATCTCATTACGCTGCAGTTACAGGAAACGGAACGGCCAATTGCTATGCAGATAACGAGTCACGTGATAATGATCCACTGCCGTCGCCTGCTTACACTAATGCTAGTGTGTTTGAAATGGATCCTTATGAACAATTGTCAGCAAACCGCACCAATGAAAATCCTTATACTTCATTGATTACCAGAGATGAAAACGAAGAGAACCAAGAAGACGAAGTGAACAAAGAAGACGAAGAGAACGAAGTGACTATTTAAATAAACAGTGAGTACTGTTAACTGGCAAAGCAGACTAGTGTGGATCTAATCAGTTGCTCAAACTATATTCATCTAGGCTTAATGTAAATGAAGATTAGATGTAAGTTATAGAAAACACTAAAGGTTGCTAGTAGTCAATAGATTGATAAGATCTTTGTGAATAAAAAAGGAATCTAAGTGTGCGCCGAAATTTGATTCCATTCGGGAATGATTAAGGCCTGTTCATATGAGCCCGGTTAACCGAGCTGGCCCGCTTTGCCGAGCTGGCCCGCTTTGCCGAGCTGGCCCGCTTTGCAGAGCTGGCCCGCTTTGCTTTCACATGAGGAGGGCTAGCCCGGCAATCATATCTATTCATAGTAACGATTTCCCGCGATATTTTAGCGGGAAAATAAAATTCGTGTTTATTTGGCAAAATTTTATTTTTGTCGACGGCAACAGCTTCAGGAGGTGTAATTTCGATAAATTCCTATAGTTTTGGACATTTTAGACTGTTTATCAGTGGAATAAAGCACGCAAATTTCCATCCCGGTTGTGCATTCATATGAGCCCGGCAAGCCGGGATCTCGCCTCGCTCAAGCGAGATCCCGGCAAACCGGGCTGGCCCGCTTCTCATATGAACCCAGTCCTAAATTAATATACAAACAATATGCGAGGCGGGATCTCGGCACTTGAAAACCAGCCCGGCTAGCCGGGCCAGCCCGGCAGAGCAGGGCTCATATGAACAGCCCCTAAAAAGCATGGCGAACGTGACAGGAAATATACTTCACAAAACAATTTGGTCTCCCGGACCGAATGGACAAATTTTATTTCCTTGAGGAACAGAACCGGTCCTTTGATGGAATTAACGTCAAGATGAACACTTATCACCAAGCTAATTTAGTATGTTAGAAGGGTACAATGCAAATATGTATACTAGTAAATTATATTACAAGGACTTCATAAGGAAGACCATTGAATAGCCCAAAGAACTGTTGCTCCTCAAATCAGTTTCTTGATATAAACTTATCGAATGCGAATTCTTATATAATTTGTGTTGCCCTTGATTATGTAACGAGCATGTAAAATAGATAGAAATTATTGATATTTAATATTTAGACACCAAATTATTTTAGTAGCTTAATTAATTACAGTCGATCAGGAGTTAACTAAGAGCGGTCCGAGGCTTAGGTAGATAAATCCCGAATAATGTTTGTAACGATAAGGAACTATAAATAAAGAATAAATAAAGCTATATTTACACACTGTGATTTGTTGGGCTGTCTCCACAAAGAATGAAATAAACGTCATCTGACGATAACGCATTATTATAACATTTAGCAAGACCTGAAATCGGCCTGCAGTAGTGGGAACTTCTTGAAATCATGGGGGTGTAAACTTATATTGCCAACTTATTCAGGTTGTTACTGTCTTTTGAAGACAGAACTTTCTTGGTTAAAAATCTAACCAAACTTGCCAGAAAATGCCATAAGCTTTTCACAAGAATTATTTTTTCTTACTGTCAGTGTTTATTCTACATACTAGGCATTGTTTAAATATCCTGATTTGGCGCGAACATTTGCCATTCCATATGAAAGTTTGATTGCCGAAATCTTGTATATATGGTATAACAGGCAGCGATTTAAAACTTGGCCTGAAAAGTTGTTGTTACTATATCTTCCAACTGACCAAAAACTGTTACGATTGGAAGAGTCGACTTGAGATTCCAGTACTACCTTACAGTGAAAATACAAAAAGTGTCCCACTTCCGCTTCTGTAGTTTGTTGTGATTTACTGTAATTTGTTCTGTTTTTCTGTAGCGATTACCGATTTATCGGCAAATACCGCGATAAAACTTAGTTTTTTCTATTTTTAAATATGATAATTTGTAGCAAAGGGAAATAATACATTTTTCGTTAGTTTCATTGCATAAAAAGAACGAAATTTAAATTTTATCGCAGTATTTGCCGATAAATCGGTAATCGCTACAGAAAAACAGAACAAATTACAGTAAATCACAACAAACTACAGAAGCGGAAGTGGGACACTTTTTGTATTTTCACTGTAAGGGGTCGCCCACTCTAAATCCGGACTTCCTTATACATTTTGTAGTTTTATGGCTTTATGCCCGGCGCACACTAGAGCTGTGTTTAGCAAAATGTCATTCGTGACTGTTGGCGTAAGGAGATAGCTCTTGTGTGCGGGCGATTTACGAACGACTTTTGTCATTCGTGCCACTTACGGCAAATATCTAACACGTTTGATAATTTCTGCCTCGCGTGCCAAAATCTTTCCATGTGCGGCGAACGAAAGCTATCTGCTTACGGATTGTCGTAACAGCGCATGCGTAGTATACAAAAGTAAACATCCAAGATGGCGACGCAAAATGAATTGCTGGCTGAGGCAATTTTAGAAGACAAACTTGTCGTGATAATGCTGTTCCAACAACTTGTCTACAAGCTTGCTACAAGCCCGTTGAGAACATATCTTGTAGACAAGTTGTTGGAACAGCATTATCACGACAAGTTTGTCTTCTAAAATTGCATCAGCCAGCAATTCATTTTGTGCCGCCATCTTGGATACGACAATCCGTAAGCAGATAGCTTTCGTTCGCCGTTCAAGAGTTGTAACCCTGGACAATAGACCTTTCCCTTATAACCAAAATTTTGATCTAGGAAAGTCTAGACAAATATTTCATCACAGAAAGTCTAGACAAATATTTCATCACTTGAAAGAGCATCACAAAATTAGTAATATTTCAAAGTTTCGTTGCGAAATGTTGTAAAATGAGGAAAACAGAGCCTTGCGAAGTTTGCAATTTTCAGTCATTTTGCATTACAAACGGGAAATTGCAGCCCCAACACCCGAATCGGACGTCAATTTCCCGTTTGTAATACAAAATGACTGAAAAACGGCAAATTTCGCAAGGCTATATTATCCGCATTTTACAAGATTTTGCAACAAAACTTTGGAATATTACTAATTTTGTGATGCTCTTTCAAGCTGTGATGAAATTTTTGTCTAGATCGAAATTTTTGTTATAAGGGGAAAGGTCCATTAGTATACGTAAATACTGATATTTAAGGCTATTTTCCATTGCAGTCGCTTTGCCCGCGCGGGTGGAGCGGCAAATTTTCATCACGTGAAAAATCAGTCGCGCGGGCACGCCAAGAAAGTTGAATGTAGTTCTACTTTCATGGCGTGTCCGCGAGCAGTCAGGTGGACAAAAAATGCACAGGTTAGACAACTAGAGAGAAAGTTGAGTAATGTTCGCTCCGCCCGCGCGGGCAAAGCGACTGCAATGAAAAATGGTCCTTAGGCCTTATATAGCCCAGTTGCCTGAAGGTGGGCGAACCTGAAAACAATAGTGAGCTTAAGCAAGCGAGGTTTTTGTCAACAGGACCAATTGGTGTAACTAATTTTGGCGGCATTTTGCAAGTAGCACATATGTGTTGAAGATTACCACAAACTGACACAAACACAGTTTATAATCCACAGTTCCCCCTATATATATATATATATATATATATATATATATATATATATATATATATATATATATATATATATATATATATATATATATATATATATATATATATATATATATATATATATATATATACTGTAGATTATATATTTTTAACATTTTGAAAAACTTTTGTATTTGTTTGACACCCCATCAATTTTTTTGAAAAATATTTCATACCCTTCCTTAGAAACGAAGATAAAGCGTATAGAGTATTTTGAAGATTTGCATTTAAGGTACTACACGCGTGAAAAATTATGAGCCTGCTGTTTAACAGGATTGAACAATGTTGTGCGGCCCACATTGTTCACACGTTGACAATGTCAACAATATTGAACAATTGAACAATATTGTTGAGCCTGAATCGGGTGTAACAATATTGTTCAATATTGTTGACAACTGTGAACAATGTGGGCCGCACAACATTGTTCAATCCTGTTATCATCAATATTGCAACAACCTGATCGTTTTATCTGTGTCGCCTATATCATTTGCATACATTCCTTCTACACCATAGCTGGCGTCTATATCCAGTGAGCTCTATACATATCTGGAGCATAGATATCTTACATATACTAGATAGCGCATCTCTTTTAGTAAAATTGAAGCCAAGAATATTCCAGCGGTTACCCCCATTTGAATAGATGGCGGCCATGTTGAAGTTTCCCACTCGCTAATAAACGCTTAAAAAACAACAATAACTTTCATCATTTGAATAGTTTGAAAATGTATTTGGAATAGGTTTAACTTAATGTTTAAGTTCCCTGTTTAAGTAATAGAAAACATACGAGTCTTCTCATTTCATGGGAATATCCTGAGTCTGCAATCACGGCTTCAATTTTTGAATTGCAGAATAATTAGATGCACTATCTAGTGTATATAAGATATCTATGATCTGGAGCAAGAACGAAATTCAGTATTTCCTAATCTGCCCATGCAGGGAGTTATAATGCATATCCATATACAGTACATTATTATAAACATTTCTCGAACAGGTAAGCTAAACTTTGCGCAAGCTAATTCTGTCGGTATATTTAACAAACATAAAACATTTTCCGTGTTGATATACAGTTATATCAACACGAGTGGAAATTGGAAAAACGAGAAATTGTGTGGAATTAACAGGACGCCCGGAGGATGGAGTGTTTTCACACAATTTCGAGTTTTCCCAACTTCCACTGGTGTTGATATAACTGCATGTATATCAATACGGAAAAAATGTTTTATATTTGTTTTATAATATAGCACAAAGAAATATAAAGAAAGAAATTTTCCGACGTTTCCGTGTTGACATTATAGCAACACGGCTCTTAGCCAATCAGCGTTCAGAATTTACAAAGCTGTATTATAATTTTTTTTATAATATAGCACAAAGAAATATGAAAGAAATTTTCCGTGTTGACATTGAGTTATGTCAACAGAGCTCTTAGTCAATCAGTGTTCAGAATTTATAAATGCTATATTAGAAATGTTTGTATTAGTTATACTGCATGGTAGTAGCACAGAATAGATACCGGACCAGAAGTGTCACTCCTATGTGTTTTGGCTGAAGGAAAACGTCCGAAATTTTTTGGCTTGCTATGACGCCATCCTGGAGTGCACCCGGCACTTTGTACCTACGTTTTCCTATGAAAAACTTCCGTGTGCACTCCAGGATGGCGTCATATGATGGCGTATTTTCACGTCAGCACTCGTAAAATTTCGGACAAAATATCGTCTGAGTGACACTTCTGGTCCTGTATCTCTTCTGTGGTAGTAGATTAATCCAGAATCAATTTTTCAACATTCACAGAGCGGCAACAATTTTATCTTAAATACACTATACAATCTCTAAAGGAATTGGAGCTCCGTTAGAAGGAGAATTCCTATATTATAACAGGCTACTGCCGTTCTTATCCGTTGGCGGGTTAGAAGGGAAATATGCTGACATCAAAGGGATCGCAGGTGGTAAATGCGACGAAGAAGGATTACCCGGGATAGTTCGCTTATTTTGTGTCTGTAATGGTGGTCTTGGTGGATTCGATTTCTGGTTTGGTTTAGTTAAATATTTTGGATCAATTAAGGGGTTATTCTCTTTTCCAGTTTTTAACGGAGCGGACAGAATGTGCGGAGATGTTTTTAATCTTTCTTCAGGAATACTTGGAGTGTTTGGATCAGTTTTATGACCGGGTCGATATACAACCTAAGTGGTAAATTTAATTATATAAATTTCGGTTTGTGGAAACACCGCGTATATCTTTATTGTATATATATTTAACAAATAACATTTTCCGTGTTGATATGATAGTTATATCAACACGAGTGGAAATTTGGAAAACGAGAAATTGTATATGGAACACGACGCCTGGAGGGCGGAGTGCAGAGTTTTTTTCGAATTTTTCCAATTTCCACGAGTGTTGATATAACTGTATATCACTACGGAAAAATGTTGGGTTTTTTATAATATAGCACAAAGAAATATGAAGAAAGAAATTTTCCGTGTTGACATTGAGTAATATCAACAGTGACAACACGGCTCTTAGCCAATCAGCGTTCAGAATTTACAAATGCTATATTATATTATAATATAAAATTTGTAAATTCTGAACGCTGATTGGCTAGAAGCCGTGTTGATATAACTCAATGTCAACACGGGAAATTTTCTGCCGCTTGTAAACACGGAAATTTTTCTTATCCTTCGGGCTTTTGACATTGCTATATTATAAAAAAAATATAAAACATTTTTTCCGTATTGATATATAGTTATATCAACACTCGTGGAAGTTGGGAAAACTCGAAAAGTATGAAAATACAATTTCTCGTTTTCCCAATTCCACTCGTGTTGATATAACTGTATATCAACACGGAAAATGTTTTATATTTGTTAAATAACATACATATAGTAATCTTACAGTACCTGCGCTTGAGATGTGTAACGTGGGATGTACGCGTGCGTAGAATGAGGCGCAGAACCAACTGAAAGTGGAGTACTGTGAGGCTTTAAAATAGTTAAAGAGAAATAAGTTAACAAAAATGTTCCAGTGATATTTGTAAATATTTAATATTATATCAATATAATTGTTCTTTGTATGTTTGCATGGAGATAAAATATATAATAGTTTTGTTTGTGGAAACACCACGTAAATTTATTACTGCAAAGCTTTCGATCCGTAAGCCCGGATTTTCATCAGTGCTAATAATATGACATAATATTAGCACTGATGAAAATCCGGGCTTACGGATCGAAAGCTTTGCAGTAATAAATTTACGTGGTGTTTCCACAAACAAAACTATTAAATATAATTGTTATTATCTGTTTTTAAATATAACAAGCCTGAACTCCATGTTAACTTACAACAATTGCTCGACGCAAGAAAGAGGTGAAGAGTAAGAGCAACAAAATTGCTGCAACTTGCAACAAAAGGTGATTTCAACGCACATCAATTGAAAATGTTCATGCACATAAGTGTCAACACGAGAGAGCACACGTATAAACATTTTAAACTAACATGGCTCTCTTGAAAATCAGCTTTTTACTTTTGTTGGGGCAATTTTGGAGCTCACATTCCAAGACTTACAACCGCTTCTCTATTTGGATAAAAACATTTGAATATGGAAAACTATTTTGAATCTCAAAAGTATACTCACCAGTGCGAGATTATTATTGAAGCTGGACCGAGATCCGATATTAGAGCTAACAGAATTAACGTTTGCTGTACCAAACTTTGGTTGATTCATGCACTGTTCGTTGATTTGTCTATTTAACCAGTTGATCACTATCAATTGAAATTGTACATTAAGATATATAGACTTTATTTGTGAATCATGCAAAATTCATTTCCTCTCGAAAGATAAAGAATCAATACAACATGATGTGTATTACAAAATAAACTCAATACACATGTTCTAATACAGTATTTCAGAGATCACCTACCATTCTCATTTGTTTTTAACAATTGTTTACTTTCTTCTAATTTCTCAGTTGCTGCCGCTAGTGATTCAGTTAAAATTTTTATCTATACAATCAATAATTAATACACAATCAATCAATCAGTCAACGATTTTTGAAGCTGTTAGATAGTAACTTCAGGTTTGAATAGCTACTTTATATCTCCATTGCCTCTCCACGATTCTTGGAGTTGGCCTGTATCTTGAGAATTCTTAACTCAACTACAGTGAGTTTCAAGGTTTTAGAATTTGGATTTATTCCTCTTAGAATATGTTGGATCATGCACTGCAGCCATGACGCAATGTAATCATGAATCAAGTAATCAATAGACCTTTGTTATAATGACGTCAAACGCGGAAAACCAGTTTATGCAATGTCTTACAGGACAATTTTTAGTTACAATTTAGCGACGATTCGCAATGAAAGTCGTTGGGGAGCCAATAAATTTGATAAAAACATCATTTGCATTGCGAATATCGCTAAAATGGTCTCTTTAGACATCGCATTATGTGTTTCTACGCGTTTGATGTCATTATAGAACGATCTATTAGTCATGCATAAAACATATCAAATATAGGAAAGTGAGTTAACACGAAGGCAAGCCTTATAGGTTTTTGACGATCCACCATATAGGGCACGGTAACTGGTAAGTGAACTCTTACTTCAGCTCCTTTGTCGTTAATATCCCTTGTTAGCGTCTTTAATTCGCCACTTTGTTTTTCCACCGTTGAAACCTAAAACAATGTGTATGCCAAAATAACGTTAAAGTTATGAAAATGGAGAACGAAAAAATGTTAACTGAAAAGTTGGAATTTCTTTTTGAAACCTAAAACTATGAAGCGATATTGTTTTCATCTACAAATCTATTTCATTACCAATAGTACAGTTTTTACCTTTTCTGCTAGGACTTTCTCTTGTTGGGTTATAACAGTTGCATTTAATTTGTTCTGAACAAAAATAATCGAAATATTTAATTTGATAAATGTGATATAATCTTGAATGGTCTGTGCCAGTGTAGGTAGTGCCAATAATAACAAAACTATACATATATAGAGAGAATAATACATGGGTGCGCGGAAATACCAGATTTATTTTGAGTGTTGAACATGATATCTCACGAGTGAGATATCATGTTCAACACGAGAAATAAATCTGGTATTTCCAAGCACCCATGTATTTTTCTGTTTATTATATAAACAAAATTCAGTGGAAAACAATAAAACGTCCGTGGCAATGCGTTTTACAACTAATGATATTTTCACACGTAAAAATATCGTATTTTTTACGTGTGTTTAAATACGATTTTTCTCAGTGGCCAAAAAGTCTTTATATAAAATAGCCTTTTAAAAACACGGGCGCTGATTGGACAAAAGCTAACTTAGAAAGCGAAGACCTAAAGCACAAAGTATAATTATAGCACACATTGTATCTGTTTGACTGTTTGTCAAGGCAAGATATTTTAATTTTACTTTGTCTTTTTAAAAAATATTTCCTCTCGACGTTTTTAATCATGTTTACTATAGTTTTTAATCATGTTTAAACGTTCACTAACTATTTAAAACAGTGCTTTCTTTGCATGCAAGCATGTACGTTGTTGTGTGAATTATATACCTGGTAAAGTAAGCCTGTTACTACGCATTTTACTGATATGTGCATTCCGCATTTTTTTTTCGCTTCCGAACGGCGTTCGACGGTCGACGTTCGACGCAGGCCAGGTTACAAAATTTGGCGCTTTTTCAAGTTTGAATTTTCCGAAGTTAATATAAATCAATATAAATAGTCAATGTCTTGTCTTGAATGACATAAGTATTGATGAAAACTTGAAAAGGCGCCAATTTTGTAACCAGGCCTGCGTCAAACGTCGACCGTTGAACGCCGTTCGGAAGCGAGAAAAAAATGCGGAATGCACATATCAGTGAAATGCGTAGTAAGTGCTGTCTGTTGTTTTGACAGCGATGTACTTGTTCACTTCGCTATGCTTTTATAATTATTCTTTACACGAACGTATATTAAGGTGGAATTAATATTTGAATGAAAGCAATTAAAATCAATAAATGTATCTCTTCTATTGTTTTTAAAAGGCTATTTAATAAAGGAAATAGAAAACATTTTTTCCGTGTTTCTATAGAGTTTATAGAAACACTTGTGAAAGTTTGGGAGAAACTCGAAATTGCGTGGAAACACTCGCACTTCGTGCTCGTGTTCCCACGCAATTTCTCGTTTCTCCCAAACTTTCACGCGTGTTTCTATAACTCTATAGAAACACGGAAAATGTTTTCTATTTCTTAAATATAACACTTATGTTTATATAATAAATAATAATAATATACAAGAAGAATTTCGCAGTTTCGAACGGAAACTTCAAAATTTTCCGACGAAGGTCCTTCGCTCGAAACGTCGAAATTCTCCTTGTATTTTTCAGGTAGTTGCGTCCCTATCGGCCGAAGTTTCGACAAATAAATGTGAAAAGTGTAAACATCGGTATATTTTTAGTGGAGCCAAATTATATATGGAGTAGCGTTAGCACACAGGCAAACCAAGTCTAGTGAATATTTGGCTGCGATCACCTGTATAGAGTGTATAATACATTGTCAAATATTTTGCTAGAATTTTCCAGATTGCTTATCAAATTAGCCTAATATTCATATATATAGGGCTTTATGGATACAGCAGGCGGTACATCAAACAAAACCGACTCAATCATGAAATATGACAGATATAAATACACATGTACTGTACATAGAAAGCAGTTAGTTTACCATAGAAAGCAGTTAGTTTACCTTAGCTTTCGCATTTCGCACTTCTTTCTGAAGTCTAAGAATAATTTCGTTCCCCTGTCAAAAATACAAATAGTGAGTAACGTTATTGTAAATCAGAAACTGTGAGCTTGTCATTGATTACTGATCGAGATCATAGAAACAGGGATGGATCCAGTCAGATCTGGTAGGGGATGCTCACCATCATGGTTTGGGGTGCGACCGATGATCAAGTCCATCGTCAATTTGAGCTACGCGCAACAGACTGTTCTGTAGAACGGGCAAAACGTTGCCTCTGACAGGGTTTGGGGACATTATTGTGGTAATACTAGATAGATAGATAGATTTTATAGATTTTAAAAATATTGATTTCCACGAAGGGCGTGTGTTCAAAAGTTAATTTTTATATATAAATGTTCTTATGAGTCTTATGTAAAAGAAAATAGAAATAATCTAACTGTTCCAATTGACAAAATTGACAATATAGACAACTGACAAAACATATTAGTTAACTATTTACAACAACGGATTTATATATATGTACAAATATATTATTTAGTAACATTAGCAGCAATTTTTCTTTAGGCACTGAGTTCCATATTTTTGCCCCATTATATAAACATAAAACTCTTTTTCATGTTATTTGTGCGAGGCTGTGGCAAAACGAGTGTGGTTTCATTGTCACGGAGACAGTAATGTGTATTCTCATTCTTGTAGGTAAAAAGGTTTGTTGGGCTATTTGGCCCAAACTTATTCAAAAACTTTTTGAACATTAATTTTGCCTTAGCTTTAGTTCTTTGTACTTTTAGTGTCTTCCATCCTAATGAATTTAATGCAATTTGAGCATTAACTTCATTACCCATGGCCATAATAATTCGAGCGCATCTATTTTGAAGCTTTTGTAATCGTTGTGATTAAGTTTCACCAAAAATGTCCCACACTTCGCAACAATAAGTAAAGTATGGTTGTACAATTGCATTAAATATAGAAACAAGTGTATCACGGTCAACAAATTCTTTTAGTTTTCTAATAACAGAAATGGCTGATGTGATTTTCTTACAGATACTCTCACGCCCGTATTTTAAAAGCTCACTCACACTCACATTCAATGAGTGGAGGTTCAATCTGAGCTTCTCTCGAGTGTCATTGCTGTTTTTGAATAGCTGGAGGGTTAGTGTCGTACCTTACTATGTGACTACTCACCATCCAGCTATTCAACAACAGCATTGACACTCAAGAAAAGCTCAAATTGAATCTCCACTCATTGAGTGTGAGTGAGCTTTTAGAATACGGGCGTTAGTGTTACTTTTCCAAGAGAGATGCTGATCAACTATTACTCCTATAGTGTCTTGCATTCCTGCACTTGTTTAATTGGTCTGTTTTCAATCATTATGTTTAAATGTGAATTTGAAACAGTATGCACTAGAGATCTTGATCCAATGAGCATAAATTCAGTTTTGGCAATGTTTAAGCTCAGGCGTAAAAAAAAAATACCTGTGGTTCCGGTTTCATATCGTGAAAAAATTAGGGTCGGTAGGTCGGAAATAAGTTTTTTTTTTTAATATTTTTTTTCATAGTTTTAGCAGTTTTTTGCTGGGCGATTTGCAGTAGAGTCCCAACATCAATATTAACTAGAGATGCGTATTTCCTATGGACGACTTTAGGCAATTTGGTTCAATAATTAGTGTGACAACAGACGCCATTTTGGCACGCTGTACCAGCAGCCCGCAACCACCTGGAGAAAATAGGGTCGCACGGTCAATCGCGTTGAAAAAATAATAGGGTCGGCAGAAAAAAATAGGGTCGGTCGGGAACCGGAACCACAGGTATTTTTTTTACGCCTCAGTTTGTTCGCGTTTAACCACATTCTGAGGTTTTCCAAATCAGAGTTCACTGCATTTTCAACATCATTAATTGATGATCATCATTAATTGATTTTTTTCATCATCAATACTGACAAGATATTGCCTTTCCAAATTGAAAAAAATGGATTTGATAATGAAATTGGCACCTGGATTTGATGATGAAAGTGGAGCCCCTGCACCACCAGTAAATCCATTCCTGTATCAGTGTAGGTTGTACTTGAAATGTTATTACGAGAATTTTACTTTACCTTAATTAGTTCATCTGAAATGGATTTCACAGTTTTTTCTGACTTATTCAGTTGTTGTTGACGATCTACTACAGTTTCTTCACATTTCCTTTTCTGTTCATTTGCAGCCTGCAGTAGCTCTCTCGTTCTTGTAATCACCTTCGATTAAAGTTACGATTAAAGTTTGGATGACTTTAGGGTAAGCAGTAGGGAGAATAGTAGATTGTGGCGGACACTACGGTGGAAGGGGTGGGCAACCGCCCCGCACCCTCCAACAATTACTGTTTGTCTGTTTAATATGGTTAACACAGTCTTGATAGTTTAGCTCTCTGCTGCAAGTAAGGATGATTATTTACTTAAAAGATACATGGTTTCAAATTGACTAACAGCCATAGCTAACCAAATATTTTAAAAGTTTTTACATAATCTTCAAAGGAGTGACGTCATAACGTTGAATATGAAAATATATTATGCTCAATCTCATTCAAGCTCAATCTCATTCATTCCAGCCGACTTGAATGTACTGTATGAACCCACCTCCTGGTTATCTTTATTTTCTTGCTCAAGCACAGCAATTCTTGTCCGAAGATGATTTAAAGTTTTATCCCTTTCATGACGCTCAACATCCAGACTTGAGTTATCTCTACGCAGCTTTGTCACTTCCACTTTTGAACGCTGCAATGCCTGAAGAAAAAATGTCTAAAAATGTACTGTACTACTCTGAATGCATTGTTTTCAGGAACACTGAATGCATTTGCCATTTTCAGTGATAAAAAGCAAGCTTCCATACCCATCTGGTTTTCAAAAGCAACTATGACTGCGACGTACTTTGATGTTCAGTAATCGATATATTATCATATGAAGCATATTAATACAGGGTTTAAAATAACTAATTTAAATTTCGATATATTTGTAGGCTGTTTGGTGCGTGTACCTTTTTTGTACAGGCCATTTTTTTCAGGCTCTGATAAGTCGAACATGAACATACAAATTACGCAGAAAATACCACCATGTCAAAAACAGCAGCAAAATAGGAAGCAAAATAGAATACGCATGCAACAACAGTCTTTTTAAATATCAAAAAATCTTTTGAAATAGTCATTTCAAAAATCGATGCCCAGCATAATGCAGGTAATCAAATACCCCAAACTAAATAAAATTTTAAAATATTTACTAAGAATGAAAATCTCGTTGTTGCTATAGTTTAGAAGTTGCCGACCAGTGCTGTGAAAATGCAGGTGATAGCCGGCAGATATTTTAAACCGTGTGTTATCTACTACTATATGTAAATCTGCCGAGGAAAACAAAGTTGTGAAGACTGTTGAAGTAAAGCCCTGGTCAAACGAGGATGAGAGTGCATGAGAGTTGGGAATCCTTGGTCTGCTGTTCTTATTGCTTTCCCAACGCTATCATGTACAGTATACATGTGTTTTATTTATTAATAAGTTAAAACGTATACGTAGTTAGGATAAAAAACCTTTATTTTGTCATCTAGAGCTTGAAATGCATGTCCCCCGTAACAATCGTGATTGCCAACTCTCACCATATTCTCGTTTAAACTGGCTTAAAACTCTCCTAACTTTGTAAAATAATAAAAACCCGATGGATAAGCCACCTGTTAGAGTACACATAATATAAATGTTGGAGGAATTATTATAACTCTCGGTCAACCTGCTTAAAAAGATGCTGATCGTATATCACTGTTAGGATTTTAAGGTGTTTGTGAAACCTTTCTCCAGAAAAGACTGGTAATGCATTCTAATCAACGAGACTCTACACATTTCACAGAAACCTAACACAATCGATCTTATATTGTCTGTCCTTCTGACAGAGCTTTTATTCTTAAATTAACGTATACAGCTTTTCACTGTTTTCAGGCGGAGGCTGATAGAAAGACATGCAGATATTTTTCTTTTGTATTTTTTCAACATGAATGACTTCACTCACCTCCTCCACGAACGCAAGTTTGTTCTTGAGATCGCCACAACTGGACTCCGAGCGAAACTTTCTTTCACTTAATTCCTGAAAAGAAATTGCAAGTTTGTATACTAATACTCAGAATTGATATTTAAACAAATGAGAAATTATACAGTAACACTCTTTATGGCAACAATAACTGCAAAGCATGGCAACACATGGAATGTCAGTGCGGCTGGGCAAGAAAAATGCAAAATATGGGTAATTTTATTGTAAAACCAAACCCGTGGTATAACGTTGTAACCATTAATGGATTATTTATATATAATATCATATGCACAATCGATGCAGGAAAAGTCGCTTTAGGATCAGACAAATACATGCGTGTTACGAACTAAGCAACGCAATCTTCTGCGTGAAATTCTGCAGAAATAGTTAAGTATTACAATATTTGGATCCACACGAAACCAGACCCAGAAAAATATACTTTCTTAAGTCTGGTGCAAGTGAAACATAAAACGTCGTGCATAATTATGTAGATTTGGGAGAACGTACAGTGCCGCACACAAGATTGATAAACTTCAATCTCGACACAAGACGATCTCGACTTACAAAACGCTTTAATTTGTAAACAATAAGTAAATTATATGGCATTCTAGTATACAAGATGACAAAAATTTCCTGCAAGATGTAAGAAAATGGCCTGCAAGGTAATTCATTTTCCATCACTGCACGAAACATCAATAAATCATCAACTTACGCTGTTTGCAACTGTGAGGTTTGAAATTTTATTTTGCAATTCCTGGACAACAGTTTTATGAGATGATTCCAATTCCTTCTTTTCCTGGTCAAACCGTTTCTGACAAGACGTTTGCATCTGAAATATCAATATGGGTAATGACAATAATTCATAATGTTCAGATAACACAGCTACATAATCAGTTAGCGAAATAACGGACATTGGGAAGCAGCGATAGTCAAATTCGAACACAAAATGTATTTGTTTTCGTGCACGTTTACGAACCACTGTATACTGTATATACCGATTCGAAAAGGATTATTACTACATCGTGTTCCCTTTAAGGGTGGATCCAGCAAGGTTTTTCTAGGGGGTGCTGGGTGAGCAGCCGAGTGTTTCTTTATAATTCTTTAGGGGGTTGTGAGAAAGCATTCAAATGAATTGGATTCCTAACAACTCGAGTGCCGAAGGCGCGAGCTCCCTAGGGGGCCCAGGGCCCCCTATAAATTCACCCCTGATCCCTTTTATAAAGTATTTGACACAACAAACAACTTGTTAAAACTTGTCTCTTTTAAAAGCAGACAAGCTGTTCGTGTTTTTAAATCTGTGCTTAACATGATTATTACCAGTTTAGAAGATACATGGTTATAACATGTATTGTATGGTTAATGTACATGCATGAAAAACCTCCAGCTCGTAGTGTGTACCTGTATCGCTTTTTCCCTTTCTGCAGTCAGATCTTGGGAATGTTTACTGATAATTGAACTGGACTTTGTGCTGAATTCTTCTCTCAGTTGACTAACTTCTTTATTTCTAGCAGCAAGTGCCTAGGAAATACACAGAGTATTTAATACGATCAATACAATTATATACTGTATCATAAACGTTTAAAAGTCCACGCTGTAAATAAATTGGTTGTTGGGTGAAAATGAGCATTCTGATGCAAAACATTTATTCATTGGTTTTTAAACCAATTTTTAGACTGTGATAACGATAGAGAAATACAATTTATGATACACCTGTAAGGCAGTACACTATGTAAATCAAATAACCTCTTGTGATCTAGCAAGACGACTGTTAAGTTCTGTTTCGGTTGCATCCAATTTTTGCTTCAAGCAACGATTTTCCTCCTAAATGACAGAAACATTTATATGACCCTCAATGATAAAAAAATGTTGATTTTCCTTTGGTAGCATAATACCAACCTCGTACCCAGGTGGCCGTGGCACCAGAGTGTGAGAGAAAATATCCTGGGTACAAAGTTGACATAATACGAATGTATGGTTGAAGTACAGCATAAAGGCAACGGTATGCATGAACTCCATCTTAATGCATAATATTTATATGCCTTTCACCTCTGCAACCAAGTTTGATGTCTGTATTTGTAAAATTCGCCTCAGCCTCATACATAAAGAGTGCTTCCAGTTTGACTCTACTCAATAGAGTCAAGATACAAGGTGTAATACAGTACATCCTTCCTTAAAATGCGTCATTTTGGCTCCGTGGCCTCGCTTTCCGTTTCGTGTATATCTGACATCAGTTAAAGCCCACGTCTCGATCACGAAAACGGGGCTCTAGAAAGGAAGGGTGTATTAAAATTGTCTTTTGTTAGGTTTGTATGCAATGCTTCGTGTAGTTGTGAATGTAGTGTACGTGCAATTAAGCTTCGTGTACACCACGAAGATCTTGTAAAACCTCTGAGCCCCACTCCAAAGCACGTACTGTAATGGAACTCCAGGGAGTATAAACAATGACATAGTTTTGCCAACTTTTTTAGATAATACAACTACCTGAAACATATAACGGCTAAGTCTCTTGAGGTTCATCATCGTTGTCAATGGAGTTTTTTTTCTGTGATAAAATCTCGAACACTCTGCAGGGGTAACTGTACTTCGGACAGATATCAGAGTTAATTGGGATATGGTACTGTACACCGAGATCTGTCCGAAGTACAATTAATAACCTCTGCATGAGAGGAGAGAGATAGGCAAGGGCTGGATATACCTGAAGGGATCTATTTGGTGTTGATCTGCACTGTCTTATAAAAAGCAGAACAAAGTTAATTAAGTAGAATACAGATACAGTACCTTTAAAGATGTGAGACAACCAGCCAGGTATTTCTTAACATCAACATCGTTGCCCAACATAAATTTTAGCGATAAATGCGTCAGATGTTTAAAGGAATTCGTTTCGACAACGTTCAGATGGGATACTCCACAATCATGTTCGGATATGGTAAACGTCAACAAAAACCTATAACAATGAATGTGGCATGTGGATGATACTGCTAAAGGAACCATCACACAATCACGTGTGTACTTCATAAATAGAAATGAAATATGCATAGAGTGATGAATCATGTAAACATTACATGATCAGAGGGCCTACAGTATATAGCAGTATTTTTTGCTACTGCTCCTGGTTAGGTCCATGATTATAAAACAGGAATTTTCAACAGCTTCTGTCCTAACGTAACTCTGGTTACAGAAAATCTAATAAATTACTTTGTCTGATTAACCTGTATCGTTATATCTCTATTATAAATAAAATGATTGCATAAAAATTGAGGCGATTTTTCAAGCAGCTAGTGATGCACTGTCTTATATATATTCCCCAATATTTCAATCATTCATTGTTTCTTTCGTCTGTCTTCTATTGTTCTAGGCTGTGCCTCCGTTTGAGATAGGCATGCAAGGGCTGGATTATACTGAGCTGAGGAGATCTATTTGATGTACTTTAATCAACAATCTAACACATTGTCTTACTTTGGAAAATCTTTTGATTCTTCTTCAAGACACAAGCCAAAGAGGTCCATCAAGTTTTGTGGAAATGCTCCAAAATCAACCAGTAATCCCTGCTGACTTTTTAAACTTGAATGAAGTTTAAAGGGAGAAAGTAAAATATACGGGATCTTTTACATCCGTCTTTATCTGATGAAGACAATTTGAACGGAAATACAATGTATAAACTGTTCGCTTACAAGGAGGTTAATATAATGCTAATTATTCGGCATTTTGTTTGGTGTCTTTGTCTGCTGTAGGTATATGGTAAGGCCCCCTTTACACGAGCCTGGGTCAGCACGCCACAGGTGGTTATTTTTTTGTGTTTACATGAACCCGGGTTGACGACAATTTTTGCCAACCCGGGTCAGCAATTCTCAACCCGGGTCAGCAATTCTCAACCCGAGTAATATTCCGAGCAACAGACTGGAGCAGAGTGTATTTTTGGCGCTTACATCCCTTATACGATTATATCCCTTTTAGTTTTGGCGCTTATATCTTTCAGTGTACGATTATATCCCTTTTTATCAGGGATTTAGCCGTATAGCAATTTAATTCTGCCTTAAAGACTTCCTTTTTTGATAGCTCCTCGCTTCTTGCGCTGGCAGACCTACTGGACCAAATTAGGGAGTTTACGAATGTGAGACGGCAACGTCAAGACGACGGCTGTCAATACAATGACATTATTCAAATTTTAAAATTTACAACATTTCAAGGCTTTTCCGTGACCTCCATTACCTGATGTCAGTTCAAAATTCTATGACCTGAAATTCTGAAATGTTGGTAAATAAAGGCCAAATATCCAATGGAAACGCCATCAAACTGGTGAAACTACCGTTCACAATTTCCTCGCAAATTAAAATACAGGACTTCACGCCTTTTGTTATGACTGATAAAAGGAAAATAAGTAAAAATGTTGTTCATTTCAAAATTTCCAAGACTTTCCATGGCTAAAATTGATTTATAGGATTTCCAGCTCAGGATTTTGAAATATTGAAATTCTACGACTTTCCAGGTTTTCCATGACCCGCACGAACCCTGTAATATAACGACTCGGACCCAAACAATGGTGTCCGCTAACAAGAGGTATCTTCAAGGAGACGTGTCTACTAACAAGACCTGTTTGCATGCTGGAGAAGTTCGACTGAATTACCCAATCATTCACTTTCCTTTCGACTGAGAATTACACTGGTCAGGGAGACAAATTATTTTTTCCACATTTTGACAATGATGACATACCTTTGGAAATCATCTTCACCAAGTTGCAACGTGAAGAGAAAGAAGGGATCCTCGTCATCCGTTAGTCGTACAGATAATTCCTTCAAGAGAAAGTGTTATTTCAAACAATGTTTTGCTTTTTACTGTTGCAGTAGTCATTTTTTGCTTTATGTTATAATACCTTAATAAACTATTCAAATTTAATTGGCTGATATTTTATGAATACTAGTTTTGCTATGGAATGCTAGGGAACGTTCCACCGGACGGCTACGCTGTGGTTTTTGCACTATTATAATAGTACGTCTTCATTGTACATACAGCTCCGCGGATTGCATTAAATTCAAATTTGTTTGTTGGACTATTCCGAGTATGTATTTATTATGTACGATTATTAACGTCGAGATTAACGTATATAAACCATATGTTTGCGATGTTACTCTGAGTGCATATCCACACCGGGCGAGCTTGAAAAATTTGCCCGGCCACGGTGGGATTCGAACCTACGACCTTTGGAATACCAGCCCAAATCGAACCGTCCTGACCGCGTAGCTCAGTTGGAAGAGCATTGGGCTGGTATTCCAAAGGTCGTAGGTTCGAATCCCACCGTGGCCGGGCAAATTTTTCAAGCTCGCCCGGTGTGGATATGCACTCAGAGTAACATCGCAAACATATTATTCACCTGAGTACACAACACCAACACAGAAAAATTCGTATA